TGTGTGTGTGTGTGTGTGTGGCAGCTCATCAGGCTCTGCAGAAGCCTGTTAACCACCTGCTGATTGAAATCATGTGTGTTGAAGCAGAGTTAAAACCATGCGTGCTGAATACCGACCCTCCAGGCCTGGAATTGAATAGCCTTGCTTTAGATGGTCTCTCAGTCTAAACTGGATAACTGACATACCATACCAACTTCATTGCTATTGCACAATTTAAAATGCACAGTGAGAGCTGACCAAAGTGCTGTACAGGCAGGATCAATTAAGACAAAAAAGACAAAAGCAATAAGGATCTAAACAAGGCATTAATAGTAGATAAAAATATGTAAATTTGTGTTTCAGTCATTTTTATACTGGCTTAAAAATACTTCATCAATTCTACTAAGCAGGGGTGTATAATGTGTTTAACAGGGCCAGCCCAGTAATGATCTTGGACCAAAATAAAGGGGGCAGAAGGAGATGTTTTTCCAGACGCCAAGAAAATTTAAATAAATTGGTGTATTAACCTTTAATACTAGTTATTAAAATTTAGCAGTTGGTGGATTGGTGCAGTTCAAAGTGGAGTGCATCAAATAAAACAATATTAACATAAAGGTGAGACGTGTCATAATCCCCCCCCCCCCCCCCCCCCCCCCCCACCACCACCACCACAGCTGGAAAAATTCCTAGTGGAAACACTGTATACATGTATAAAAGTGGCTTTAACACAATCCTCATTTCTATCACTGCTCAAACAGATACCACATGACCCCCCCCCCCCCCCCCCGAAATGTGAACAAAAATGGCAACAAGATGGAAAAAAGCATCTGCTGTTAAATTGTGCCCATTTTTAATTTTTGGATCTGTGCCAATGCTGTTTGTTAAAACAACAACCTGAAAGTCCGATACCGACGTGATGCTTACGTATGCATCTCTTTATGCTAACCACAACTCAATAAAAGTTATTCCTGTTTTATTCCCAGCTGATTCCTGACTCTAACATCTGGAGTGGTTCTGGACTCCAACACTGAGCATTTAAAAGCTGATCATAAAGATGTCCGCCCCACACCCCTCCATCTGTCACCGCTCAGCCGTCCACATCTGCCACGACCCGGGGAAGCATGCGCGGCGCTGTCACCTCTTACTGACCAATAAAAGCCAGTCAGACATGAACTGAATCAGTCAGCACATTAAAGGTGATGATTACTGCAAAACTATGATGAATAAGGGGAGTTAAAGAGTGAGCAGCGTGTGTGAGCAAAGCAGTGAGAGATGGGGGTAACTAGGAGGAGGAGGAGGAGGAGGGCTGGGATGGAGCTGTGGAGCTTCCTTTGTGCCGAGTGGATGAATAGTGGGATTGAGGTGGTGGGCGGAGGCCCGGCACAATGGTGAAAGTAAGAGCCGTGTTTCCAGTCTTCCTTCTGCCAAGGATCCTTTTATCCTCGCTGCTCCGTCGCCTAAGAAACCCGGATCGGGACGTTTACTCAGGATTTAAACTCCACACTGGTGCTCCTCTGGGTCTAGTTGTATTTGTTCATTAGAAAAAACTAAACTGTGATTAAACACGTGAATGACCGGTGTGCAGAAAGAAAATGCATCAGGTGTTTAAACACGTGTGTGCAATAAATTAAAATCAGGCTATAAGCACGACACCGGCTTCTTTTATCAATAAAATAGATCATTTAGCAGAAAACTGGAGCTTAAATGGGTGTGAAACTCGGACACGTTTGTTAAATCTGAGTTGTTAATGTGAGAGGTAAGACAAATGCTCTAGTCTTAGCTCCGCTCTTAACTCTAAAACCGTGTATAAACCTTCCTAAACAGCTGCTTTGTGCCTCCTGATGACTTCACGAAGCAGCTGTCCTCCCTGCTGCAGAACTGCTCGGTTTAGTGGGTCAGACACACACCAATGTTTATTTAGACGGAGTATTGACTGATGATGGACCTGAGTGCTGCTGGTGTTGTGAATATGAGCTGATATCTCTGGTCTGTTGAGAGTTGATGGAATGCCCTCAAAACCCAATTGTTTTCTGATTCAAACAAAAATACATCTATCGCACACTTCTACTGAATCATCCCCATTAGAGCATATGGAAGTAACTGGGGCAGAAATGACATAAAACACAAGAATTGGGGCCCACAAGCCTTAGGCTGCCTCTGGAGGTGTTGGGGAGACTGCAGTAGCACCAATGGTTCCTTCACACACTTTACTGGCAGCGCTGTGCACCAGACTGCATGCTAATGGTTCCTTACAGACGGCTGTGGGAAAAAGTAAGTGGGGTTCGTCTAATTTGTGTCAAACAGGCGATATCTTGGGCAACATGGTGGAATTAATCACCGGCACGTCACACATACCATCTATCCGACCCACTTTTCACAAGGAATTAGCGTATCGCCTAATCTTGCATGAACTGCAGAGTGCCGATCGTTGCCACACATGCATGTTTTCTGCAGACACGACACAGTTAAAGGGGAAGGCAATGATTCTGGAGAGTAAATGAGCTGTCAGCGTGATTAGAAATGTGCTCTTTTGCAGTTTTGAACATATTCTGGTGTCTTTTGTGAAGTTCATCACAATATGTGTGTTGTTTTTGTTTCCAGGCACCCCTCTGAAGCCCATAACACCCATCAAAATCTCTGAGGAGGGCGACGAGGTTTTGGGGGACTACACCGTTGGTGAGCAAGTCTGGGTCAACGGCGTCAAACCTGGTGCTATTGCCTACCTGGGCGAGACACAGTTCGCCCCAGGACAGTGGGCCGGCGTCATACTGAATGACCTAGTTGGCAAGAATGATGGCTCGGTGGGTGGCGTGCGCTACTTTGAGTGCCAGCCCCTCCAGGGCATTTTCACCAGACCCTCAAAGCTCACCCGACAGCCCATGGGAGAGGGGAGCGACAGCCTCTCCACCGATTCAGCCCCGAACCAGAGTCAGCAGGGCGGCACCGGTGCCCCCAGTGGCCAGAGGGTGGTGGTGCCACTCAGAGAGGGGCTCCTCAACAGCGCCGTGAAAACGGGGAATGAGTCCGGGTCCAACATGTCCGATAGTGGGTCGGTTAAGAAAGCTGGAGATAAAGATCTGAGGGTTGGAGATCGAGTTTTGGTGAGTTGATTTATGTTTTATGTAATAAATAAATAAAGACTTCAATAAATCTACTGATGAAAGTTTTCAGAAAAACAAAAGACTGGATGTCTTTGTTTGCTTTGCCAGTTCAAACTGAAACTGGGCTCACTTAGAGCTTCACTGAAGCGAGCTGGTTTACTTGTTCTTTCTCCCGAGGTTTGTTGGGATTTTTTGTTGTCCTGGTCCACGTGCAGCACATCTTTCACGTTTCAGGGTTAGGATTGCCCTAAATACCCCCGGGAGTTAGGATCAGAGGTTGTTTAGTATACGAGCTTGCGTTAATCAAGCTCCCACTGCAGTTTAAAAGATTTGTACTTTTCAGTTAGAATTGAGAAAGTTCCTTGGATGAAATGGAAAATATCGTCAAGAAGTCCAATAGTTGCTTCCTAAATCCTCGTTCAGTTAGGTGTCTCCACCCTGGGACCCTGGATCTCTTATCCTGCAGGTTCTGAGTTTGCTTTCATGAGTCGTGGAGACGTTCTGTCTGGTCACTGAGGTTTGGGACAATCTGTGGGACACATGTCCTCTTAGAAGAGTTGTGTTCCTCTGGAACACGCCCAAGTTTAGTCTCTGTGTGTCTGATAATCGTGTAATGGTTTTCAGTTGGTGGGTAAATAACTGGTGAAATGATGGTGAAACAGGAACAAAGTGAGCCATAATTAAGACGTTGCAGGTGTTGTTCAGTCTGCTGTAGCTGTGGTTTGTTCACTGATTGGAAACACTTGTCTTCATCTCATTTTGTCACCATTGAACACGGTCAAGCTTAAAATGGGACAATCCTGATCTTTAAACCATTTACAGTAGTTACCTGTAAGCTTGTTGCACAAAAGCAGCTCAGAGCGCTTACCCCGGCGGTAAAGCCGTGGCTGTTTCTGCTCGTCGTCTCATGGACTCCTGTTTTAGTGTTTATGGTGTTTCCTGCTCTGATTTAATGACCTCGGGTCACGCTGCCTTCAATTTGCTGATGGGCGCTGAGAAACTGGGAGCCCAGGAACCCTCCATACTGGTCAATATTACTAATCACTCTGGATTACTTTCAGCACTTAAGAAAGAGAGCAACCAGCGCTGACAAAATGATCAGTGAAACCTTTGTTTGGCTGAACCTCTCTGGTGTAATGGCTCAGATGTGCTCTATCCGGTTGTCTCAGCCTCCTCTCAAACACGGACTTCAATATTTAGCTAAATGAGCACAAACTCAGATTACACAATATGGACACAAACCGAGGACCCACTTGTTGTTGAGTTGTACGATAGCAGCTGGTTATTCATTTCTTTTACCATGACTTGGTCTCCTAATCGTGAGACTTACATTGTAAAGTGTTTTCCAATGTTAAAGGAATAAATTAGGGCTGCACAATATATCGCAAATATATCGTTATCGTGATATCAACATGCACAATATGCATATCGCAAAGAACAGATAAATATCGCAATGAACGGTCAGCTCAAATGTTTGCTACACATGATGCATTCTGTCAATCAGACGGAAGCATTACATTTGTTTAACAAATCAAATGGAGCTCTTCACCCATTTGTCCAGTTGGGTGGGTTCGCATAGGTCAGATGCCCGCCCTCGAGGCGCACAGCACTTAATTTTGATGGTTAGCAAACACCTGAGTTAGCTTTGTTCTGCTCTTCCTGCTGATTCTGCTTTTCCCGGGATCCACTGATTTCCTTTCCTTGTTCATTTTCCCTTTCCTCACATCTTTAGCTTTTCTCGTTTTTATGATTTTTTTGGTAATTCTTTTATTTCTTTGTTTTTGATTAGTTTTATTCCTGAGTTAAGTTTTTTATTTATTCACAAGTAATATCGCCATTGCAGTGTTAATCACTGCTATTGCATATCGCAGGTTTTCCTAATATCGTGCAGCCCTAGAATAGATAATTGTTTTAACTTGTTTAAATAGTTTTCTGTTTGGACAAATGAAGTTTATGTCCCTCAGGAATCAGGACTTACACCTAACTCCAAATCCACACCGGAGCCATCAGCGGTGCAAAACAGCAGCGGACTGGTTACGTTGCGTGCTTCGCTGGATATCACTGCTTGATGTCATATATATAATGTTGTTCCTCTCCACTGCCTGGGTAAAGCTAGTGACGCACGGATACAAAATGTTTGGGCCAATATCCTGTATTAGGGCTGGGCGATACGATATTTTTTTTAAAATTCCATTTACGATTTTTTTCCGATTCTCTCTCCCCTCAATTATTAAGATTAGCAATAAGTACAAATGGAAGGCACCTTAAAGCCAATTTTGTTTTTTATTTAATCACAAGCAAGACAAATGTAACCCGCTATTACATAAAAATTCGATTAACTTATTTAAAAATCGCTCGCAACAAAAAATTCTAATTAATTAATTAATTAAATCGATTTGTCGCCCAGGCCTATCCTATATTAATATCACTGTTATGGCCAATAACCGATATTCCCTGATACCGATTAATGCTTCTAAAATCAGCAGATTTTGTATAGAAAGAAAATGATTCAAGCTGAATTTATGTTATTATGTACACACACCACACACATTTACGCTTCTGAGATGATTACCATCACTGTCACTAGGGACGTCCCGATACAACTTCTTCACTTCCAATACGATACCGATATTGCAGCCTTTAGCTTTGACCAATACTGATATCAATCTGATGCGATCCGTCCATTGTCTGAACCCGCTTTGTCCACGTAGGGTCACGGGGGGGGGGGGGGGCTGGTGTCTATCTCCAGCGGTCAATGGGCAATCAGGCGGGGTACACCCTGGACAGAGAGCCAGTCCATCGCAGGGCAACACAGACACACACAGGACAAACAACCATGCACACAGCCACACACACCTAAGGACAATTTAGACAGACCAATCAACCTAACAGTCATGTTTTTGGACTGTGGGAGGAAGCCGGAGTACCCGGAGAGAACCCACGCATGCACAGTGAGAACATGCAAACTCCATGCAGAAAGATCCCAGGCCGGGAAGCGAACCCAGGACCTTCTCGCTGCAAGCCAACAGCTCTAACGACTGTGCCACTGTGCAGCCCAATCTGATGCGATGTCAGCACAAATCATACATACTTTTACCTATTTCATTTACCTATTTCTTAGTGTGAAATGTATGAAAGACTTGATCAAGTGATATTACTCAATCGGAGAACAACAGCCAATAGTATGAAAAAAAAGATAATTTTTTCTTAACTCATTCGCTGCCAGCGTTTCTCACCGTTTTTGCAGTTTTTTTTAAGAGTGATAGAACGTTGCGCCCTAGGATGATGTAGACACCAAAACAACCAAAACAAAGAGGAGTCTCACCTCTTACATCAGGAAGAATCTGCGCGTTTCGAGCGTTATCCGTTCTTTCATAATCCGTTGTTGAATTGTGATCGGCAGAAGCTTTTCCGGTTCGCGCCTCTTTTTTTTTAGAGCAGCGGCTCAAAACGATCTCCTAACACATGGATTTTCTGCTTCCTGATCACGTGACGTGTGACGTACGTGGATGAAGATCGGCTTTAGAGCTGGGATGTTTGTTCACACGGTGCGGGGGCTCGTTCCGACGCCCACACAGTAAAAACATGCAAATAATGACTTTAGTCGTCATTGGCAGTGAATTACTTAACCATTGGTTACAAAAATGCGAACCTTTATGGACCGCTTATATCGGAGAATTTTGATGCAGTCCGATATAAGATATATACACTGATATATACACTGTTTTGCGGCCAATATCGAATTACTTCCGATATCGATATCAGAACGGTACATCCCTAACTGTCACATGACTAAACAAATACACATCACCCCCCTCACCCTCTGAAACTGATAAACAAATGGAAAAAATATCAGTTGTTAATAATGGCCCATTTTTACTTATCGGACCGATACCGATTTGTTAAAAAGTGATTAACATTGGCCGATACCGATATTGATGGCGATGTATTGTACATCCCTCATTACAGCCATAAAAATCAGACCATTGCACTTCCCAACAGGTGCTGGGAGCAAAAAAGCCGTTAGGTCGCACATATTGATGTAATCTACATAGATGATCACATCTCTACAATAGTCTTTAACTTTGAAAATCACCAGATGCGTTTCTCTGATTCCGTGTGTGATTTCCTGTCTAGCCCTAAGTAACCTGCAGTAGTTGATGCGTCCCAGAAGCAGCTTACGATTAAAAACAGAAACCAGTCCTATCTTTAGCAGCGTGTTGCTTCTGGGACACGCCTGAAATGTTCCACGCTGCAGCCGGTTTGGATAAACTCAGACTTTTAACAGATTACTTTTTAAATTTAAAGCAGAGCCATTCCGCTGCCATTCCGCACCACTGATGCCTCCAGTGTGGATCAAGGGTAAGACCAAAATGTGCTGCTGATGTCTTGGAACAGCTCCAGTGTGTTAAAGAGGTTCTAGAACAACTTTTCTTTCAACAAGAATCTGTTCTTTGAGCCTCCATTTAACATATAAAACATTGTTGGGGCTCAAAATGGCCCAGGAGCCCTGATAAATGGCCAAACACAACCCCATAATGAAACCTTGAAACACGGTTGTGGGTGATCTGCCCCACCCACTTGGCCGGGACAGGAATATCAGATGAACTTCAAGCTGATTGGCCAGTTTACCCTGATGGCTCTATGATGCTGCCTGAAGCTAGGAACTATTTGTACGGCCGTGTGTCTGGATTAATCAGTAGACTACCCATGGATCTAACTGGCATTCATTCTGAGTCCCAGTACATCTTGGAACACTACGCGTGTGCTCCAACAATTGTTTTTGTTGTTTCCCGCTCGTCTATCAAGGACATTAGCAGTAGCTAGCGTTAGCAGTAGCAGTAGCTTGGGTTAGCATTGTTCTACAGACTAACTGGCTGAATTTATTTTCCCCTGGGCAGAGACATGTTACGTTGTGCTGAGGAGAAGAGGTCCACAGGCTTCCAGCTAGAACAGACATCACTGCCAGAATTTACCCAGGATGCATCAGAAGTTCTACATTCTGATTTATTTCTCTGAATAGAGGCTGTTCTTGCTGCTATTTACAATGGGTAAAGTAGGAAGTATTTTTAAGTTTTACAGTTCAAAAATGCCCCAAAACCTTGCTTTAAGTAGAGTTCGGTATGAGAGTCTTCCTGAGCTACGCTGGCTTGTGCCGACCTAAAGGTTGTGGTGACATTTTAACACCGAGCCCTCGAGACGTCACAAAGCCTTGCTGACAGTTGCCGTCTGAGTTCAACGTCTGGTGACAACAGCGTGTCTGCTGTCGTCTTCTCCTGTTGGCCTCTCTGGCGTCAACCTGACTCAAATAAGGAATTTTCTTTGGGTAAAAACAAAAGTTCTTGAACGTTAATAAATCAAAGTATGAGTATGACATGAGGTGGAATGTCCGCAGACACTCAGGAGTGTGTGTTTTTAGTCACACACGTGGTGACCACATGTGAAAGTCATTCAGCAGCTCCTCTCGGTGTGGATTGGAGTCTGCCCTCCTAACAGGAAACCAGCTTTTTTACACCAGGAGGACAGCTTGTTCCGAGACAGAGCCCACTCTTCCATGAACCACGTGTTCAGCAGCTTTCTTTGGGAAACGTTTTATCCACATCAGATTTTATAACATCTGAAAACCTGAGCTTTGAACTTGGAGTGTCATCCTGTCTGCTTGGGATTTAATGACTCTATAATCCCGGTGGGGCATCACCACGGATCAGATTAGAATAAAAACTCGACCACGTCTCTGACTAGAGCAGCCTCACAGCTACGACCTGATAAATAAATCAGCAAAAGCAGCTAATCTTCGGCTCCTGGTGTCTGCCACATGTTCAGTGATGTATTTATTTTTTCCCAGCATGTGTCTGTTGGGTCTGAGAGGTAGCAGAGAAATGGCTGAGCAGCAGAATAATCACTTTATGACTGCATTTAAAGGACTTTGTGTAAAAATTTACCAGGATGTTTAAAATATTAAGAAAAATATGCTGATGATGTCGAACTCTATTAAAAAATGATTAGTTCTTTAAAATGTTTACTTTTAGTTTATTTTTATCATGCTCTTTGTATGTTTCAGTAGCTTATTGGGACTCAAGTGTGATCTAGTAAAGGATCAAATAGTACAACTGTCCGCTTATCCTGGGTTGGGTCACGGGTCAGCAGCCTGGGAAGAGAGGCCCAGACTTCCCTCTCCCCAGCCACTTGGGCCAGCTCCTCCAGGGGAAACCCCAAGGCGAGGAGCCGATTCACATCCCAGCAGCTTCACGCTCTGCTGCGAACCGCTACAGTGAGAGTCGGAAATCACGCTCTGATGAAGCCAGCAGGACAACATCATCTGCAAAAATGTTGAGGGGATCCACAACAGATCCTCTCAACAGCATGGCTGCGCCTAGAAATCCTTTCCATAAAAGTTCAAAGGGCAGCCTTGGCAGAGTCCAACTCTCACTGGAAACGAGCTCGACTTACAGTCGGCAATGCGGACCGAGCTCAGCCATCCAGGGACCTAACAGCATATTAGAGGGCCTGGTGCCCCATGCTCCTGAAGTACCCCTCACAGGGCCCCCCGGGGGGCGCGGTCGAACGCCTTAACTGACCTTTTAACATATATATTATCATTTAAATGAAAACACTTTATTTGAACAAACTTGTTATAAAATGCTAAACGATTTTGTGCCACTCCAACATTTTAACTTTATTTATGAAAATATAAACAACCATTAGAACTGACAAAATCAGCATCATCTTAGGCACTCGTGTTTTTATCAGTAGTTAAAATGCTGTAAAACAAAAATTTTTCCAAAAGCAGCCAAAGTTTCATCATCAGCATCCTTATAACAGGAGGAAAGTTAGCAGGAATTTGCTAAACTCACTTATTTGTTCTCCAACACCTAATTATGATGACTGAAACAGTAAAGCCTCCTCTGTATTTCCAGGTGGGAGGCTCTAAGATGGGAGTGATTCGGTACATGGGGGAAACAGACTTCGCTAAGGGTGAGTGGTGTGGGGTGGAGCTGGACGAGCCGCTGGGGAAGAACGACGGAGCGGTCGCCGGTACGAGGTAAGGGCTCACGCTCATAATTGCCCCCACTACCTCAAATTCCTTCACTCTTTCCCCTGGAAAGGACAGGAAGTGGGTCCATCCGTCCAGATGCTCTTTCATCGGACATCAGCTGACCTCAGATCTGCTCAGATCCACGTGTGGTTTTTAGGGCTTTTTTAAAAGTTTGTTTTTAGTTTTAGAGATGAAAGAATAAATGTGAGGAAAGTTTAAAAAACAAACTACATTTTAAATCTTAATATTTACTAAAAGGGCTTCTTTCACAACCAGAATTTACTCATTTGATCATGTTAGGGTTTATCTTATGATTGATGGTGTGTCTGACATGTTTGGATGCCTCCTATCCCATAAACGTTTACGGTTTAGTCTCCTTTTCCATCTGCAGATACTTCCAGTGTCTCCCGAAGTTCGGTCTGTTCGCTCCGATCCACAAGGTGATCCGCATCGGCTTTCCCTCCACCAGCCCGGCCAAGGCCAAGAAGAGCAAGCGGGTGGCCATGGGGGTGTCGTCTCTGGCCCACAGCCCTAGCAGCTCCTCCATCAGTTCAGTCAGCTCGGTGGCCTCCTCTGTGGGTGGGCGCCCGAGCCGAGCTGGACTGGTAAGACGGCTGCGCAGTGCCTCAGACTCGGGCCTTCTGTAGATTTGCTTTGCTGCAGATGGGTGGAGGAGCAGACCACGCCCCTCTCATGTCTGCCAGGCCGGTCGTGTCGTCGTCATCGGGTTTGCAGATGACACCGACAGGACAGAACATGAAAACCCATCCATTCTTATGCTAAAATAATAAACAAAGAGCAGCATTTCATGTCCGGGCATGAGAGCGGTGGGGATCCTCTCATCTGATAGCAAAAGCAAACAACATTCAGTAAAATCTGGAAGGATTTCAGCGCAGCTGCTGCAGAAAATCCAATCGTTACGTTTCAATTTTATGAAGAAATGAAAGGGAATCGAAATCCAAAGAAACGTTGGTGCTGCTGCTAGTGGCTCATTGGGGTCACCATGGTAACCACACCTACGTGTCTGTGCTGCTGCTGGTGCAGAATGAAGAGTAAGACTCAAACTCACCTCTGCTGGGTGAAAATTAGAAGTTATTTTAAAAGAAATGAGAAAACTCTGGTAGTCACGCTTCAGATAGTTAAAACAGACCGGGTGTCTTTAACGTTCTTATTTCAGCCGATTCTCTTTTACATATTCTAGGAAATTCAATTTTATTTCTTAACTCATTCGCTGCCAGCCGTTTCCTGATCGCTAAAGCCCTTCGCTGCCAGCATTTCTCACCGTTTTTACTGGTTTTTTTTAAGAGTCACAGAACGTTGCGCGCTAGGATGATGTCAACGCCAAAACAACCAAAACAAAGCGGAGACTAACCTCTTACATCAGGAAGAATCAGCGCGTTTCGAGCGTTATCCATTCTTTCATAATCCGTTGTTGAATTGTGATCGGCAGAAGCTTTTCCGGTTCGCGCCTCACTTTTTTTACAGCAGCGGCCCAAAACGATCTCCTAACACATGGATGTTCTGCTTCCTGATCATGTGACGTGTGACGTACGCGGATGAAGATCGACTTTAGAGCTGAGATGTTTGTTCTCACGGTGCGGGGGCTCATCCGACGCCCACACAGTAAAAACATGCAAATGATGACTTTAATCGTCATTGGCAGTGAATGAGTTAAATATTTGTTTCCTAATTATTTGTAAACCTAAAAATTTTGTTTGCAGATAAATAAATAGAATCGACAGGACAACAGATTTTGTGACGTCAGCTGAATATTCTGTGAAAAAATTCTCCTGAAAAACCATAAAATGTACCAGTCCAGTCATGTAAAGTCCAACTTCCTGAGAAACTGAATTATGTGATGCCTACCTACAAAGGGGGCGGAGCTTTCTCACCTGGTTTTATCCAAAATCCTTGGAGCACATGATTCCAGACTGAACCACTCGTTTTGATGCACGTTTATAAAAAGGGACACACTTCGATTGCTTTGGTGCTCAATAATGCCTTTAAGATCGTAAGTAGGCGTTGCCACCATTCAGGCATGGGTTTAGTTGCAAATCCAGTCTGAGAATCGGTGAAACAGTTGTCACAAAGCAGGTTCTGTACAGCATGAGCCTCGGCCCGCCGCAGATCCTCAGTGACGCCTGGCAGCGGCCTAAAGCAGACTTCAGTGGATCTTGCATTGATTTCAGCTTCTGGTTACGAGCCAGCGCTCAGACAGGAGAACACTCCCTCCTACTTTCCCTAATTGTTGGCAGTGGTGAGAGCAAAGCTTTGTGAATCAGCAGGCTGATCTCTGAACAGTCTGATACACTAAGAAATTAGATGCTGCCAGAGTTTAATCCTGCAGAGTGGTGAAGAGCGCAGAAACGTGTCCGACAAGTTCAGGTTTAGATGAGATTCAGTCTTTGCAACTGCAGATAATAAACACAAAACAGAGTTTTTCTTATTCTGAGAGTTTGCTCTTTTTTGTCCTCTAAATGAGAAAATCTCAGAAAAGTTTTAATACAAAGCCTTAAAATTCAGTTTTTAAGGATTTTTTTTTAGTTAAAGCAGCAGCATTGAAAAACCAAGCTTTAGCTGCACTGATTCTAAAAGAGCGCCCTCTAGTGGACAAACACAGATGATGGTAAAGTCTTAAACAACCAGTTTTTCTTTCTGCTCTGGATCCAGATGTGTTTGTTAAATCTTTTTTCATGCCTTCATGTTTTTTCGTGGGTGGTAAAAGGCCGCCCCATCTTCTCCCTACATCTCATTGATGCTTTGTGTTCTTTCTCACTCCAAGCTGACAGAGACGTCATCCCGCTATGCCCGAAAGATTTCTGGCACCACGGCGCTCCAGGAAGCCCTGAAGGAGAAGCAGCAGCACATCGAGCAGCTGCTGGCTGAGAGGGACCTGGAGAGAGCTGAGGTTGCCAAGGCAACCAGCCACATCTGCGAGGTGGAGAAAGAGCTGAGTGCCCTCAAGGCGCAGCACCTGCAGGTAGGAAAGCAGTCCGAGACATCAGGTTGTGAACGTCCGTTCTGCTCTAGCACCTCATTCTGATGTCCTCTGCTCGTAGTACGTCACGGAGAACGAGAGTGCCCTCCAGCAGGTCAAAGCCCTGCTGGCAGGCACACAGAAGGATAAGGTGGAACTGGCCAATCAGCTGGAGGAAGAGAAGAGGTGATGTCACTGGAACATTGAAATTCACACAACTGAAAAACCAAGCCACCTTAAGGGAAATAAGAAAAGCCTCCGTTCAGAGAAATAGACTGATTGATGTCTAAAGGCTAGTTTGAGTGCTGTCAAGAGCAAAGTGTATCGCTGCCATCAGAGAAAATCAAATTCCCACAGCAGTGTGTCCGCCTTTGTTAAAACCTTTACACTGAACTCTGCTTCTTTATAGGCTTACATATAAACATACACACACAAATGTTGCTCTTTTGGGTCAGCTAGGGGTCAAATCTGAGGTTTACTCCTTCTTTATTATCTCTAGGGAACATTTTATTCATGAAAATCGTTTTATTTCTGTTTTAACAGGAAGGTGGAAGACCTCCAGTTCAGAGTAGAGGAGGAATCCATCACCAAAGGAGACCTGGAGGTATTTATTCAGATCAGCTATTTTATATTAGCAGGCTTTAGTCATAAACGTTCTTGTTACAGATTTGATCCTGATTTATTTTAAAAAGATAAACAGTTTGAATAAAGGTATTTATTTGAAATTATTTAAATAAAATTGTTTAAATAATTTCCTTTAGACATAAATAAAATCTAAAAAATCTCGGCGACCACCCGAGCCGCGTTCCGCTTGGACTGCCGGTACCCGTCAGCTGCCTCTGGAGCCCCACAGGCCAAAAGGACCTGACAGGACTCTTTCTTCAGCTTGACAGCATCCCTAACCGCCGGTGTCCACCAGCGGGTTCGGGGGTTGCCACCACGACAGGCACCGACGATCCTGCGACCACAGCTCCGGTCGGCCGCCTCAACAATGGAGGCTCGGTACATGGTTCATTCAGACTCAATGTCCCCCGCCTCCCCCGGAACATTTTGGAAGTTCTGTCGGAGGTGGGAATTGAAGCTCCTTCTGACAGGAGACTCTGCCAGACGTTCCCAGCAGACCCTCGCGCTACGTTTGGGCCTGCCTGGTCTGACCGGCATCCTCCTCCACCATCTGAGCCAACTCACCACCAGGTAGGGGTCAGTTGACAGCTCCGCCCCTCTCTTCACCCGAGTGTCCGAGACATGCGGCCGCAGGTCAGATAAAACAACAACAAAGTCAACCATCGAGCTGCGGCCTAAGGTATCCTGGTGCCAAGAGCACATATGGACACCTATGTCTGAACATGGTGTTCATTATGGACAATCCATGACTGGCACAGAAGACCAATAACGAAACACCACTCGAATTCAGATCGAGGGGCCGTTCCTCCCAACCACACCTCTCCAGGTCTCACTGTCGTTGCCCACGTGAGCGTTAAAGTCCCCCAGCAGAACGAGTAGAATCTCTTCTCTGCTTTTATAACAGCGCTGTCTGCCCATGTTTCCTTAATCTGACAGATCGATTTAATAGTTGGTGTCTAGATGTGATTAATGATGTCTGGATGTTTGATTTCTTATCCATAAAGTTGACTTTGTGATTATTATGGTTCTCTTATATGATAAAGATGGTTTTGGTCTCTTAATTTAATTAAATGGCTCGACTCTGCCACCTGCTGGTGGAAATGAGTGCCTTCAGTTTCTTTATAATGGGAGCTCCAGTGCGTGTTTTCCAGCTTAATGAATTACGCTTCCAGAAAAATGATTCCATCACCGAGCGTAATAAACACCATGACACCAGGCTCAGATACAAAACATCAGATTTTTAAGTCACGACCGAAGATGAAGATTCGTTCAAGTTCCCACTG